GTTACATCTGCTCCTCTGACAACTGTACGAACCAATTTTTGTGTAAAGAAACAATGAGAGGTCAGTATAAAGTGTGGTGTGTTGCTTGTCTTCTGTGTAAAGAAACAATGAGAGGTCAGTATAAAGTGTGGTGTGTTCCATGTCTTCTGTGTAAAGAAACAATGAGAGGTCAATATAAAGTATCTTGAGCAAAAGTGGTGTGAGATTTGTATACAGTTAAACATTAAAAAGTTATCACAAGTATCATTTAATTGATGAGATCTTTTAAAGTCAGTATGTGTTATCAAACTATATTGTAAGTCTTATTCAAAAACCTGTCATGTATCTTCCATTCAACAGAGTAAGATATTGAAAACAACTTTGTGGAATTAGAGCTATTTATGTGTGTCATCTGTACAAATAAACATTAATATATGTGTGTGTATTTTTTACTTGTATGTTTGTACAAATAAACGTTAATATATATATGTGTATCTTTTACATGTATGTTTGTACAAATAAACGTTAATATATATGTGTGTATCTTTTACTTGTATGTTTCCACATTTCTTGATCAATCAGCACCAAATTTGACACATGGTGATAAAGGAACGCATGAGGAAGGTCATGGGGGTGCTACCCCCCTTCCAAATTTCATAAGTAATTTTGGAAAAACTACCAATGTTGTATATCCTTCAGCATCAGAATGAACTATGTAACCACTATTATTAGAATTCTTGAAAACAGTACGTCTTTCTTTTCAGTATGGGTACCTTTTTATATTTTTATTGCACTTTTAATGTTTATTATGTTAAGAAAAAAAAATAAAAGCACAATTTCCTATTCTTTGTTACAAACGAGTTTTTATTTCACTCATCCAATGGACGGGTACTCCAGCTAGGACCTGCATAAAACCTACATAAAATCCAGTACAGGCTTACTAGTTAAGTAATGTTCTCTTTGTTTGGAACAGATTGTGTTCTATAAATTTTCTGTATTATTTCATATTTTTGTACAGAATATGTATTTATATTGATAAAAAAAAATCATTTTTTAGGTGATTCACAGTTTATTGAGGATCGACGAAAAGGATTGAAAAGATTTGTCACTTTGATTACTCGTCATCCTGTAATTTCTGATGATAAACTTGTCAGCTTTTTTATGACTTTTGCTGGATCTGTAAGTGAAAACTACTTCAAAACTTGTTTCTAAATAGTAATCATGTTTATTAAATTACTTTTTATCTATGAAAGCAACCTGAAAATATGTAATAGAAGCTTAAATTAATATCAAAGATTTTTGTCATACTAGTAAACAGGTACTTTTTTTAACTTCTTGGCAATGGGCTTGTGTATTTTACACGACCTTGTAACTATCATATGAGTAACTCTGAAAGTACCTTCATAAAATATAACTTTTAGTAAACATTACAAGCCTTCCGAACAACATACAACTATCATGTGCTACTCAAATTGGTTCGTACAGTTGTCAGAGGAGCGGATGTAACATTGGCCTTACATTAATCAAAGAACATCTATTAGGTCATCTGCTACTCGAAGACATGCAACACACCACACTTTATACTGACCTCTCATTGTTTCTTTACACAGAAGACATGCAACACACCACACTTTATATTGACCTCCCATTATTTCTTCACACAGAAGACAAGCAACACACCACACTTTATACTGACCTCTCATTGTTTCTTTACACAGAAGACATGCAACACACCACACTTTATACTGACCTCTCATTGTTTCTTTACACAGAAGACAAGCAACACACCACACTTTATACTGACCTCTCATTGTTTCTTTATACAGAAGACATGCAACACAACACACTTTATACTTACCTCTCATTGTTTCTTCAAACAGAAGACATGCAACACACCACACTTTATACTTATCTCTCATTATTTCTTCACACAGAAGACATGGAACACACCACACTTTATACTGACCTCCCATTATTTCTTCACACAGAAGACATGCAACACACCACACTTTATACTGACCTCCCATTATTTCTTCACACAGAAGACATGCAACACACCACACTTTATACTGACCTCCCATTATTTCTTCACACAGAAGACATGGAACATACCACACTTTATACTTATCTCTCATTATTTCTTCACACAGAAGACATGGAACACACCACACTTTATACTTATCTCTCATTATTTCTTCACACAGAAGACATGGAACAC